AAGTTACTACACTGGCCTGGGGAGAAAGGCAGGGGAGAACAGAAGGGGACTAAAAAGAGTCCAAATAAACACATATTATTGTTCTGTAAGCTGAACTCTTTGGTCTTTTGAAACTAACACCATCCACACTGCATGCAAAGCCTGAATTCACTTACACAATTCAGGATTTAGATCAACCTAGTTTTACAGCTTTTTAATGATCAAGTAGAAACAAAGTTTAGCATTACCTTATTTAGCTGCGATGGATGTTGAACAGCAGCCCTCTTGCGGTAGAATCATACAGAAAATTCTCAGCAGCAACGTGGCTTCTCAGATTCCTGTAGTCCCTGCTGAGAGTGGTCTATCTTTTCCCCTGCTCTACAGAAGGCCAGAAGAGCTGCAAACTCGAGGGCAACAAACAGCTCGCTTTCCTTCTGCATTCACACTGGGGATGCAGGTTACCAGCCTTGATTGATCACAGCTGTTCTACTTTCTTCACTCAGGACTTCCAAGTCAAAAACCCTACTGTGTTTGCCACTGCAGGAAAAACTGCATGTCTTTTAGGTCATTTTTAAAGGTTTTTTTTTTTTTTTTTTTTTTAAATGTCATCATCACCCTCCAAGTATTGAAAAGAGAATTGGATTTAATTGCCTTTCATGGAGACTTGCTAGCCTCAGGAGACTTTCATCTGCCCCATTTCTACTGTTTGCTAAAAGCCCCTAAGATCCTTCACTTTGATATCAAAGTCCAGTCAAGGTTAGCTTTATTTTTCAATAGTTACAGCATCTTTTCTGCAGAATTAGCTCAACCATGACAATAATTGAGCATTTATATCTGGCCCCTTGAGAGCCTGCCCAGCTCCAACATGATGCAGGCTTGTTTTAAACAAGGGAAAAGGCTGATCATTTAGTGTCGAGGAAGAAATTGCTTGGGCTGAGTTCAAGACTGGGGTGCAGCCTGCAACATGTGCAGCCTCGGAGCAGCATTGAGGTCTGGGCTCCCGTGTGGGGTGCTGGATCCTGTTCCCATCAGCTGTGTGCCTGGCAGGGGCTGCTCCAAGTCCACCAGCAGATGGTGCGGCCAGCTGCCCAAAGCCACCAGGGAAACAGAGGACAGGGCAAGTCTTAACTACCCCTTATTCTCCAGCAACTTTTTCAGAGTTGCAAAGAAATCTCTTCGAGAGATTTGAAGCCCTGAAGGTAGGTGTCTGTACCCTTAACAGAGCAGAGCACACACTTGGCCTGGGGCTGCCAGCAGAGCCCCTTTGGAATATAACAGGCAAGTACCCGTGTCACCACCCTGGTCTGTTTTGGATGGTACATGGTCAGCCCTCCTCTGAAGCTGTACCCAAGCTCAGCAAGATTCATTGGGCCAGAGAGCACACAAGGGAGCAAGACTACAGCTTAGTGAACAGGAGGGAGATGTGGGTCCCAGTCCTGAGAACCAGGATTATTTCTGTATTTTGCATCCCAAGTATGAGTTAGAGTGCACTGGCTAGTTGGTGGAAGAAACTCAACCCTTCTGGCTGAAACTGTTACACCCTTTAGATGACAAGAAAATGTTTTCTATGACACATGGTGGGAAAGGGAGGGAGAGTGTGGAGGGCAATGTAGGGGACTGAACTAAACCCAAGGTCTTATTGCTCTAGTACACCCACATTCTCTCTAGTCCAATAGTCCATACAAAATGAAAACGGGAGTGAGAGTAATCTTTTCTTCAACAGAATACCTTGCAGTTCAGTGACCAGGGTACAAGGCTATGGGTTCAACTCCCTAGTCTCTGAAGGAGTGAACTAGCTGTAGGGATACTGCATGGGCAGATGACAGAAGTTCCCCATTGCACACCTCTCTGAAAAAAAAGGAGCAACACCCCACAGGTAACAGGATTTTCTTCATTCTTATAGAACCACAAAAAATGAGGGTTGGAAGGGACCTCTGGAGGTCATCTAGTCCAACCCTCTGTCCAAAGCAGGACCAGCCCCCAACTAGATCATCCCAGCCAGGGCTTTGTCCAGATGGGCCTTAACCTCCAAGGACGGAGATTCCACCACCTCTCTAGCTAACCCGTTCCAGTGCTTCACCACCCTCCTAGTCAAACTTTTTCTTAATATCCAACCTAAACCTCCCTTGCTGCAAAACTTGAGACCATTACTCCTTGTGTCAGTGGCACTTGGGACAGTACCCACCACAATGGGGTTTGAAAGGTAGCAAATGGCCTGCTGGAGGAAAAGTGACCAGGAAATTGTAAACCCAGGAAGGTTGAATTCCTCTGGATGGGGATAATCTGAATTTTACAGAGATGACAGACCCGACCAAGTCTGGCTCTTTTGTTTGAAATTGCTTCTGTGGGACAGTGACTCAGCTGCCTTTAAAGATTCAAACAAGAACTGGGGAATGCAGGAGTCTTCCATCTAGCCAAAGGCTCTGTGGTAGAGTGTACACAAGTAGGCTACTAAGGATTTGCCAGGTCAAGCAGGCTTAAAAGATACCCACAAAAGTTTGTTCTAGTCTCTAATGGGAGCCCAAGTTCTGAAGAGGATTTTTATGCTCACTTCTGATAAAGGATCTCCTTAAAACAAGAGCTAAGGTGATTAAATCCAAGGAGAACCACAGCACAAGACTCCCTACCCAGCATGTTAGTTTCTGTAGATTCTACTCTTCTGGCTTCAGTGAATTAATTTGAATGAATTAGTTTGTTCAATTTATCTCTATCATCCATCACATTTTCTAACCCTAGGGCTAATGGGGATACTCTTATGTGCGCATGTATTGGGGGGGGAGGGGAGGAGAAGAGTGTAGAAACTGTATTATTCAGCTGCAGGTTGACATTTTCCAGTTTAAAACAGGCAATCTTATGTCCATTACAGATAGCAAAAGGCTGAGTACAGAAGCAGAAGACACTTTGCTACCTAGTAGGAAGCAAGTCTGTGACCTTAATCCTCCTTAGAGACTCCATTCCTCTTGAGTGCAGATATTCATCCATTCAGAAATCGCATGAACATGCACTTGCAGCTAGATACCAAATGCCTTCGCTGCAGTATTTCATATCCTCCTTCCTCTAATGACTTGTGTGCGGAATTAGGTAAAATTCTTAATGAAACAAATTTAGGAAGGGGCTTAGGGCTAAGTGAGCATCTACCTACACAACACTGTCAGTTGTCAAAAATAGTAGCCTGTGATGGGTACACTTAAAGGAGCATAGGTCCTTGTGAATCCAGTCAGGGATGGAAGTCACAGATTAGCTTTTCCACACACTATACAGGAAAGCTGGGAAAAGAGAGTGGTTAAATCCTTAGGTACAGCTTCCCTCTTGCACAGGCAGGGTGGCTCAAACTGCTTTTGTGAAGCAGTGATAAGGCTCAACTGGACCTTCAAAATCAAATAACTGAAAACCAAAGCTGGGTGTAATTTTTAAATCAATGGGCGAGTAGGGGTTAAGATCTGCACCTGGAGGTACAGCTTAATTAAAAGACCTGATACTCTGGCTTACTTCACCCAATACCTAAATAGCACTGACTACACCTGCTGTAGGATGTTAAACATGCAGTGTTCAGTGCTGGTCACAAAGCCAGTAAGAAGGAGTGCACAGAGTCAAGATCAGAAATTGTTTGGGATGGAAGCATCCCTCAAGCTGCAGGACCGAGCTAAAAGCAGCAACACTGAAGAACTGTCAGGAAAACAAACAAAAAACAGCTTGTCCTTCAGTTACCCTGTATGTTATGCTCCCTGTGTAAGCATTCAAAAATAAGCTTGTTTTAAAGGCATTTAGCCAGGAATTAACTAAAAATCAAACTAAGTCCATTTTAAGTCTGAATGCAAGCACCTACTACAGAGATTTAATAGAGATCATAGAATCCAGGTTAATGTTTTTAGTTAGACTGGATTATCTTTGCCCAAATGTTTGTATACAGAGAAATCTGTAGGAAGGCTAGAGACCTAGCAAATGCATTCAGTATTTCTAAAACAGGTCCAAAATACAGGGAAAGAAGTCAATTTTTTTTAGGAAGTTTATTACATCACATATTCAAAGGCTTCTTTCAATTGTGAAAAATCAGAATCCCTAACCAAAGGTCGATTTGCAAGGAAACTTTCCACACAGGAGGGTGGCTCAGCATGCTGGGGTATGATATGCAAAGGTACCACATTTCCAGCTACCTTTACATATTGCTCATTATTCATATTCAATTGGATCAAACTTGAACTCTTTAGCTTAAGTGACCTTCCTGCATTTTACTTCGTCAAATACGTCTGAGTCATAAGGGGCAGTTACTGTGTGAGGAAATACCTTGGTCCTGTCCCGTGCCTCTGACAGGAGCAGATATAATTTCTACACTACCTGTAGCTAATTCTTACCTATCTAAACAAATACTTAACAATATTAATACTTTTACAGAAACAGCCAGACCAAGAAAAGGGAAAACAACAAAAAAGGGTAAAAACATTTTTTACACATTTCTTCACAAAGATCAGCGTTGAATTACCTACAGCCTTAAAGACTTCAGCTTTCAGCCTTTTTTGTTTTTTAAACACAGATGAGTAGCAAATTGTTGGGCCTTGTCTTGAGTGTACCTGACTTGCTTTTCTCTGCAAAGAAAACTGCACCCTTATGCAAGGATCTGATTAAAGTTGTTGAAGCTGACAAGTTGTTTGAAACAACATTTTACTCTTATGACTATACTGAAGCATTTTATTTTTTGATTCAGAGAATACAGAGATGCAGCAATTCATTTATTAAATCAAGTTTAATCAGTCACAATGAAACAGATATACAGTACAGAAAAAGCAGCAAGCCCCTTAAAAACATAAAACGCAAGTCTGACCCATTATTCGTGACTGCATATCTTCTTCAAAGCTTCGTCAAGTGAATGCTGTAAATTAAACTATACAGTACCCCTTTCTACCATCTCCATGCATTAAAAGTTACCCATATACTTACCAACCTGTCAAGCTTTAAAATTGTCTTTCTTCCGATAATTGATTGTTAAAGCAAGTTTTGCATATCAGCTTATAAAATCACTCCCGATCATTGCTTGTTACAGCAAGTTTTGCATATGTGCTTATAAGATCAGCCATCTTTTAAAGCTCTATAAAAAATTGCTTGTTCCCTTTTACACCACTAGTGCACAAAAGTTGGCTGACTTTTGTTTTAATATATCAGTATATAAACTACCATACCTCATTGATGAATGCTGAGCTCACTGTAGACTCCTAGTGATCACCATTATCATATTAGAGTTGGGAAGAGCTATCCAACTGTGCTACACGGGAAAGTTATAACAGACCAAAGGCAGGACTGCAACTTAAGATTGCTTGTATGGTAATGCCAGGTCCAAAGACTGCCAACATCCTTTTAGAAAATCCAAATTTACTGTGTCAAAGGAAAATGCATTTAAGCTGTTAGTAAAACAATATTCTAGGTATGCTATTAAGTGACATGATGAGACAACCCTGAAGCACTGCTCTTTATTTTAAGCACAAGGTACTACAGGGTAGACATGGCAAAAGGGGAACCTTAGCTCAAAGCAGAAATCCATGCTTTTTTTTTTTTTTGCGCAACTGCTGGAGGCTAACCTCACACAGCAGTACTGCAGGCACAAACAAGTGATTTAACAAATCTCAGAAACAGACTTGGTGCCAGAGTGGTTGACAAAGCGTGTGTGTGGGTGGGGGTATGGGTTGCAGCTATTAACAAAGAGAAGGTTCATGGGCTTTATAGCCAAGAGAACAGTCACTCCATTTTCACAAGAATTCTACGTGCACATGACCACTACTCACAAAGGAGTTACAGCCAAAAAAGTTAGTTTGGAAACATAAGTAAAAAAGGTGCCTGAACCATCAGGTTCCCAGAGCAGAGGCCTGAACAGGCCTCTCCCTTTAAGTAGTATGCTTCTTGCAGGCATATAAACACTTGCATATTAAATGGCTGAAGACTTGACAAAAAAAAAAAAAAAAGGCAAGGGGAATGTGCACTAACACTACGACATTTCCCCCCCTCAGTAGTCTTTTATCCATACAAATAATTAACACGATTGAAAATGCATTTTTGAAAGATGAACAATTCAAATATGGAGTTACAGTTACTGCAACCATCACTGACCATTAGCTTGCTGTGCGTATTTAAATGAGTTATTTCTCTCCAATTGCCATACTGTCTATTGGTGTCCTTAGCATTTTTATTTTGTGCTTTTATCTCACTTTCCATCCAAAGATCTGAAAGGCCCATTTCTTGTTTCTAAGCTTTATGCCCTCTCAGACAGCATAGAAAGGTTAACAGGTTGTATATTAGTATAGTGCATAATTCATAACAGGAAGTAAGGCTCACTTCTTGACTTGCAGACCTGTTCTGTAAAGATTAAACAATATTTATTTCATGTAGGTGATTCAGTTAATATTTAGACACTTGAATACCTGAGCTAGATTTTTACTTATTTTTAATTCATGTGCGTACAGATCCAAATTTTACTTCCTGAAGATGCTCAGGACACCATACAATAAACTAAAAATCCAAAGTACTACCTGTTTAAAAATGTAAACAAATAAAACATGGTACAAAAACTGAAGGGGAAAGAGAAGAAAGGATAGGCAATAATTTTGGACTGGCCTAAATTAATCTTCATGGGGAACCATTTGTAGGACCTCTAATGTGCTGAAAAGGGCTAAGATGGATTTCGGAAAACAGCAAGTTCAAGGCACATGCAGTCTATAGGGCTGACTGCATTAAAGATGCAATAAAGCACTAAGTCTAGAAGGTGCATATAAAAGTTTCTCAAAAAGTTGTTATCCATAAAAAGATTTAAGGCAAGGTTAAATTACTGCTGCTATTTTGTTATCAGCCGGAATACCCATTTTCTAAAAATGAGAGAGAGACCGTTAAATCCTATTAGCGATAAAACGGCCTCCCTTTTTGAAATAAGCAAGTTACTTAAGAACTGACCCTGATTCCAAACTTAAGCATCCATTACCTTTTTCAAGGCTGATAAATGGCTGTTTAGCAAGCTGTAATTTATTATTTCCCTTAAATAGATTCTTACAGGAAGTTGTGACCCTTAACCGTTGGTCTGAATCATTGCACATGATTAAAAAAAAATCCACAAAACAGAAGCCGAGTTCTACAAGTTTGTTCACTACTGAAGACAGCAGTAGATACACCCTACATGACAGACTGATGCATCACATTCAAATAAATTAAAAAAAAAAAAAAATCTTTCTTCATGTATTCAGAGAGTATTATTTGAACAAAGTATTTCAAATAGGAACATCAGGTACTTACAGATTAAACTAACCTGTACTGGCAGTGCTGTAGGATTTTTCTTCTCTACCAGTAAGAACCAAATGCTGAAATTCTGCTGCTAGTCAACAAAAACACAAATTTTATTAAACCAAGGAGTTTAATCCATAATTTAAAAAGTTTTTCATTAAAAAAAATTATCAAGCCTCAATTGTTGCAATCTGCCCCTTAAAAATTGTAAGCTTCAACTAAAGGCAGCTAATATTACTTAGATTTTGTCTTAAATTTTGTATGTTTTTCTACCCTACATCCCAGACATCTATTAGGGGAAATTCTCATGAATTAAGTAATGCATGATGCAAGAGTAACCCTCTTAAAGAGCACTTTGTGGAGTAGGTGGAGAATCTGTATAATTTAGTTATGCAAGTTATACATTTAATCTAAAAAAAATGCAGACTACATTTGCCTCCACCAGAATTTAAGGGGAGTTTCAGAATTCAGCACTCAAAAAGTACATGTGCTTCAATGAGGCAACAAAAGCGAAACTGCCTTTAACCCTTGAAATGTTGTAGGATGTTGCAAGTCATAAAGAAGTGAATATATTCCTTTGAGTGAACATAGGTTGCTCTTAAGTATGGCAAAAATTCCAACATCCAAAAACCAAGAAGTTAGTTAGGACTGGTTAATACATATCAGTTAGCTATGGTAGGGGACCATAATATGACCATTAAAATATGGTTAGAAGTTACTCAATTTAGCCAAAAAAAAAAGGGAGGAATTCCTGCCTGGGCAGATATGCTTGGACTTGATGTACTTCAAACTGACTCTAGCAAACCCTGTATTCCCTCCTTTTAAAATACCCCCCCCTTCCTCCCTTCTGTTGAAGAGACAAGAAAAAAAAAATGTATTTTATGGCCCCATAAAATGGTTTTATTGATATTATATTAAAATGATCCCATAAAAATTGTGCCGTTGACATCATCTATTTGTTTTTAAATCCTAGATAAGACAAACCCTGACAACTGAAGTTCAGTTACTGTAAAACAGTGTGCTTAAAATGGATTATTTCTGTCTGGGCAAGTGAAGAAGTAACCAAAAGGCTGGTATGCAAACTTTCAGATAAATGGCAAATTACTGTAGCCTTCAAATTAACATGCTACTAGATATAGTTGAGTTAGGTGCTTGGTAGTTTAGGAACATGATTTTAAGCTTAAGCTAACTGACTTAAGAGTATTTTCCAGGGAACTTGAAATCTCAAAGTCACAGAAGCAATCCAATTCAACTTCTTCTCCATTACACTCATGCTTTACCTCATGGCTCTCCAACTTTTAAGTGGCAGGGGGCTGAATGCCCTGTAGGCTGTACCATGCGCCCAGGTAGCCCCAGCCACACAGCCTCCTGGGGTGGGGACAGGAAGTAGAAGCTAGGAGGGGGATTCTGGAGACTCCAGCTACTGCAGCGAGTGGTGGGGGAGCAATGACTGGGCAATAGTCCATGGGTTGCAACTTAACCCTTAAAGGGCACATGCAGTCTATGGCCAGCTACTTGAATAGCCATGCTCTCTCTCATCACCATCTGGCCAAACAAGGACTGGTAAAAAACTCCCTATTCTAAATACTTCAATGCCTATTAAAAGTAGATGGCAGGGAGCTGAGTGATACAATACAGTATTGTGAACTGTCAGTTGTATTGGAATCTGCAAGTCTATACTGGTTAAAGGACAAAGATGTTTGAAAAGGACATCCTAGAAACTGGAACTAAATACAGGGATTATAGGATGTGCCCTACCATAGCAAGAAGCCCATTAAAGATGGGCTTTCTTACAGAGGTGCGCTAATGATTCCAATGTCACTGGGACTGCAGTTAAAAGGCAGCTTTGTTGCTAAAAGTCATGCTAGCAGAAACAGGATGCTAGTATCACTGTTCTAGCTATTAATAATTCTTACTCTCTACTGCAATTGGGTAACTAGAGCAGAAAGCTGTCATTTGTGTAGCGCATTTCACAAAAATATTCAGATAATGAACTGACTCTCCCACAACTCCATCAAAAGTCTATCTTCATATAATTAATACAACATATTCAAGCACTCTCTTTCTGCCTTGTCCCCTATAACAGCAATCTCTCAATATTTTCCTCACTCCCAATTAGTATTGATATCTGCACCAGTTTTACTGTAAGTAGAGATGGTCCATAACTAGGTGACCATAGGTCCTGGTTTGGCTGGGACACTCCAGGATTCCATAGCCCCATCCCAACTGGTTGGTCAGAAGTCCCAGGCCAGAGTCTGGCAGGGAGGTGGACCAGCATGATGCACCAGGCAGGCACTGTTGTTGCTCCTGTGCAAGAGCAAGGTGAGCAGACTGGAGCAGGCGCACCCTGTCTACACCAGACAAGTCTTTGCTCCTGCACAGGAGCAGCGGTGCCTGCCTAGTGCACTATGCTGCTCCCCCTCCCTGCTGCACTCCAGCCCAGGACTTTTGATCAACTGGCTGGGACAGGGGTATGGAATCCGGGAGTGTCCTGGCCAAACCGGGAGGTATAGTCACCCTATCCATAAAAGGCCTATTTATGTGAAAGAGGCCTTTTACCCACTTAACTGCATTTTTCCAGACGGCTACAGAACGATCCTAGTCATTATACATAAAAACCTCAAGTAAGCTCATCTGAGGCAGGCAACTGGTATTAAGTATTTTCATTGTTTCTCGGACAGCATTTGATATTTGCTATATGCAAATATTCTGTGCAACTAGTTATAAACAACATTCTAAGGCAGCCAAGAACTTAATGGATAGTATGTGCTGTATTTAATTTACCATGCCTTTCATTTACTTTGTATGTGAAGAGTAGTGTGTAAATTCATCTGATCTAGCAGTTAAACATTTCAGCAGAACTTATTCATGGGTTGCCATAGTCTTCAGTAAATCTAAGAAAATTAGTAACTTTAAAAAACCCCCGCAACTTTGTGCTACATGGATTGCTGCTTTAGTAAGGGCACACTGTACAGTATTAGTAAAACACACACATACTGTTATACTTTGAAGTAGGGAAATGTGTTTACAGTTGAAATTTTTCTGGAAGTATCCTCCTTAGATCCACACACAAGAGGTACACTGAAAAGCTTCACACTAGGAGCAAGATAAAAAAAAGTTTTCTATACTAGATTTGAGTTTTAGAGATCTTTTTGAAACACTGAAGATCAGTCAGCAGAGCCGAGAGTTGAGAAATTCCATTAAAAACATAAATCAGTGTGCCATCACTGAGGAAGGCAGCAAAACCTCCACTGATTTTTTAGGCCACAGAACACCAGGGAGAGCTTTCAAATTAATACATGGACATCAGTTCTGGCACTGGATTAGAATAAGTTCTGATGTACATGATGAAGCTACCAAAATGGATGGAAATCTCAAAACGGGAAACATTTTATAACAATTTTAAAAAGCCAGTTTGGGGTTTTTTGGTTTTTTTAAGGGCCCAGAGAAAGGGAAAACACCCCTACTGGCAATGGAAAAGGAAGGCTACATTTGAACCAACAAAGATTTCAGGTACCATTTCAGGCGTATCCATTATAAATTATAGTGAGGAAGACTCAAATTAACACCACAACAGCCCACATAATTATGTTGACATGATTATAGTTTTCTTCTGTATTTCAAGCTTTGTTTCATTTTTTTTTTTTAACTGAATTCCAGGAGTCATGTTCTCAAAGAATACCTTGGAAGGAAAAAAAAATATCCCTAGATTGATCTGGGGAAGCAGAGAGCCATGAATGGGTACTAGAAATAGAGAATAGTACAAGAGAAATATGAAGTGCAAGTCATTTCCCACGGATCAAAATCACAGATTAAAACAGCTGGAAAATTTTTTAACGTTCTATTCAAATCAACTGCCACAAAGTGGATTTACTGAACATAACTCAAGCATGGCTCAAGTCAGGATACCCATTTTGAGAACATATTCTCTGGAAAAAGTAGAGGGTAAACAGTAGCCAAACTCTACTTTTATACACATCTAGTTCAAAATATACATGAAGACTTAACCAAAATAATAATGATAATAACAACAACAACCTCTGAATGAAAGAACTATTTACAGAACTGTACCAGTCTATTAAATGGTAATAGGTGACAGTCAGTGGTTTTTAATATGAAACACCCAATGCTTGTTTATTTTTTCATTCATTGCGTCTTTAAAGATGAAGCAATACATACAACCTTTATTCAGATCTCTTTTGGAAAAAGGAGGTTTACAAACTTGCTATATGCACATATGGAGGCAGAATAGAACTAACCCAGCTTGTCCGAAATACGAATTTCTGTAGTACAGTATCTTCACTGGTACCCATGGTAACAATGCAAAAGAATTAGGAAGGTACTATACACTGCTCATTCATGAGGGGGGAATTAATAAATCAGAGCAGATGTCAACTTTCATCATTAAAACAGGAGTAGATCAGAAGGATCAGAAACCCAGACTGGGGTCAGGTGGTGAGTTAGAGGGGGCAGGTTGTTAAAGCTGGAAGGGAACATGGCAGAAGGACCAAGTCACATTCTTCAAGGCAATTTTCACCCATGTAGTAAAAAGAGAGTGAGCAACACTCACTTGCTGCAAGGTATAAGTTTATGGTCAGCTATAAAAAGGAAAATCATTTGAGAAATAAAAAACTATTTATGGCTCACCAAAAGTACTTCAGATGAGAAGTTTGAGAAAGTGTCAAATTAAATTAAATTAGGAAAACAAATGACTTTCAAGTTACAAATTGTGAAAAAAACAGTTCCCAACATCAAGCCCACAAAAGGCACAAAGCATGTTCTTCTGAGACTGAGGATGTCTGCATAAACCTCTGTTGTCTAGACCAAATATTTGCAAAAGAAAATTGAGGGGGCAGGAGGTTTACTCAAACGGTACTTTGAAAATGTTAGCAAATATTTCAAAAAAGTTACAAACCTCATTTTCATAGAGAAAAAAAGTCCTACCAGCAACATTGCTGTTAAAAGATTTCCCAGTAATAGGTATTAAACATGTTCAAGTTACAATGCAAAATCCCTCCAAATTGTCACTGAATGCCAAAACTTTAGAATATACTGTTATACAGCAGAAATTTAAAAAGTTTAATGTCATCATCTAACTGACACTTCTGCAGAATTTATTGCTTCAATTTTTCATTCTACCCCCCCCCCTTTTTTTTTTCTATTTTACCAACTCAAACCTGCATTTCTTCTCCAGAGGGCTCTACATTAATATTTGTGGTGTAACTTGCAAATGCAAAAAATCACCCCATCACCATAATATCCTCCCTTTTAGGGAAACAGTGTTAAATGATTACGGTTGTTCAAATACCACTTATGTTCTCAGTAATGGATTATTTATTAAAAGTTAGAACTTTAATAGAAGCAGGAAAGACTTAAAATGGAAACTTCTGTATTTTAAACAACACTTTAGCATAATTTCCCATAGCTAAATCAGGTTTACACCCCAAGTTCAAAAGCTACATGCAGTTCCAGTTTTAGAAGGCAGCCAACCTAAACAGCACAAATAAAATTCAGAATAAAGTGGCAGCAGCTTAAAGATTTAAATGATCGGCCATTTAACAGACAAACTTCCATCAGTATCAGAAATAGCAAACATTTTAAAACATATTTCCTCCCCCCAACTTTTAAAAAGACACCACAGTCAAAAATATTATTTTTAATATAGAGCCCATCTACCAAAAGATTACAAAAATCCTAAATTAAGTTAAATTTAGGGGCCTTCACCAAACTTGCTGCAAGTTTGGGGACATGGATATCCAACAGCCATAAAGCTGTGAAAGCCCCCAGAATGAATAAAATAAATCCCACTTGCCTCAGACTGAACAGGGCAACACTGAGACTCTGCCTCAGCCTGTCCTATGGCAGGGCTATAGGAAGAAGAAAAATTTAAATTTTAGAAAAACATGACCTAATTAAGTGAAAAACATGCATTCAAAATTAACAAGATTCCAGGGATCAAGCAAACAAAACCCCTGCTGTCTTGGCATTTACTCTGATTTCAAGCTAAGCCTTTTACAGTTTGTGGCTATTTCTAAATTACACAAAGATGGATTTTAAAAGGCCTGGCCTTGTAGCTTGATCACTGGAACAGAACTCAAATGTCTGCGTATATTTTCTCATAACCAATGGCATTTACTATGCTAGGTAAAGTAAAAGTAACGTTAAGTAAAAATCCCACCAGCCACTGAAAAGTATATTCCCACCTGTGTCAAGTATAGTAGCTAGACCAGTACAATTATTAAGTCATTTAATACCAGACAAAGAAAAAATAAATTTAACAGCAATGCCAGTTGATGGGCCAGTATGTCATAACTTTAATTTCTGCAATGAGAAGAGTTTTATTCCTCTTCATTGTGCATGACCAGTGTCGTCTTGCTGTTTCCCCTTCCTTTGTCTTGTATTCAGAATTCTTTGGTTCCTGAAAAATAACTTTAGATTGTGCGCCATGAAGCTTTATACATTAATTCCCAGAAAGTAAGTTAACTATAACTTGAGTGCGCTGCCTAGGTAAAACTAGATAATTATCTAACCTCAGACACTCTAAATGAGTGAAGGCAGCATGTAAGAAGTCTCAAGACAAGCTGAATAACTTTCTAGAAGCTTGTTCATGTTCTCCCATGCATGCACAGAGCAAGAATTCGTTATTCATTGTAAAATATGCATCCCAGCCTCAAATCTAGTACTAGCACTTTGTGTTTCATCTGAAATGAAGCAGTAAGACTCTGTAAAGGAATAAAGGCTAGTCACCAGAAGAGAGCTGTACTTCATCATTCATCAGAAGAAAGTTCAGCCATTATTTAAGAGACCACAGAAACCAATCAACTTTGCAAAAGGCAACTTTAAAATTAGCTGAAGGCTGATTTAGCAGTTAAAACAAACTATATCCAGATTTCCAGGTTCTAATCCAGGCTCCTCCAAAAGATTCACTCTTTGTCTGGAGACAAGTCACTTAACAGTTGTTAAAGTGGGTAGATGATTTGCAAATAGATTTAGATCCTCTAATGAAGGGTGCTAGATACCATAAATGCTAGACTTTCAAAAAGCATCAACTTTCCTATTCTGCTCTCAAATATTTCCATTCAACTTAATTGCTATGTCTTTGTACTGGCTGCAGAACATGTGGCAATCATGCAGAACATGTGCCAATATAGCCATGTTAGTAGCCTCTGGAAAAACAGAAGGATGTACCAGCTCAAGAACTTTCTGCTAGCACAGAAGAACCTCCTCTTCCCCAAGCAATATTAGCTAAGCTGACAAGAAAATCTGTTGGCATAGCTACACCTACACCAGGGATTTTGCCAGCACAGCCACATCAGATAAATGTTTCAACTTAGTAACCTTTCACTAGAACACTACATTAAAATAGTTGTTGGAAAGGCACCACAAATCTGACTCCTAACACGAAACAGCAGTACCTACAAGAAATGAAACAGGAAGAGACTATACAACAGCAAATTCTATTACACAACATTTCCACTGAAGTATCTGATAATTAGGTACTACAAAAATTGTAACAGTAACTAAATGAAACTGCACTACAATCCTACTAACAAAAGGACAAAAGCAGGAAAGGAAGCATCTATCTGAGATACACCAAGAGCAGAGGATAGTCTGTGCTTACAAACTTGCAGATTGTCCTATTAGCAAACAGTGAAATAAAAACAGCTAGGCCAGTGTACTTGAAATATCACCAGTGTTCATTCATTCCAGTGCCATTAGAAACTGGGTACAGTGGTAGAACAGTCAAGACATCTCCCTACAGGTTCAAAGCCATAATAAATTCAAGCTTCATTTCCAATAAAATGACAGCAATCCCCAGTTAATCCAGCTGCCGTGGGTACCTGGTCATTTGGGCTGAGGATGTAGGGCTAGCCATTTTGCTCTCATGTGCCAAACGCACACAGAAATTAGCATCTCAACTATATTGTTATGCCTAGGTGGACCTTTGCCCTTTTTCTGATCTATCAGAAACAAAGATACAAACTCTAAATAGTCTACAAAACATTAGCCATAAAATTACACTTTCAGTAGTCTGAAATAACTGCTCTTGGATTAAAAGAGTAGTAATGGCAACTTGCAGAATATGTTCAAATTCATGGTACACAGAATTTTTCATATATTTATTCCAGGAAAAGTGGCATTAAGATTCCAGGAGAATGGAATTATAAAGACACATTGGATAAAAAAAGCCAACATACACAAAACAGGGATCTGTTTAGGGGTTACTGGACCCACTGTCAGCCACAGGAAGACCTTCAGGGAAAAAAGGGAATTTCCATAACTTCCTAGGCAGAACAGAAAATCAGTTTAGAACAAGTTCTTTTTTAGATGCGATATAAAAACAGGCAAACATGAGTGAGAAGTAGTAATATCTCTCAGTACTGCTTGGCTTTGTGAATGAAAGCACTGACTTAATGAACCAGATTCTATCCAAAGACAGCAGACACATGGAATTACAAATACTGGATAGTGCTATGTGAAGAAGTACACAAAAGTCCTAAGCCTAAAGTGTAGCTCACAATGCTTTACACCAAGCATAAGTCAATATATCTGCCTTTTTGGTGACCAGAAGATAAAGAAATATCCAGAGACAAAAAGAACACACCTAGATTATCCTGGAGACATGAGCCTTGGAAATAAAGACGTATTTCATGAGACTTGAGTGATGTCTCAAGTGTGAAAACTAACACCATGAAACTAGAAGACACTAAACCACTGAAGAACTTTTATCAGCAGGCCCCACAGAACCTCCCACAGACTGCACTCCACAGACTACACTATTTACTGTAAGACATGAAAAGGTTTGGCTAATTTTAAAGTTTCCCAGGCTCTATGAAAAGACTATGTTTAAGTATCAGCTATAGTTCTAAAAATCCAACCTAAATCTGTTAAAGAAGAAATTAAGCCACAACTCTTAGCATTATAGATAAAGAAACAAATATAATGAACCATCTACAGTACAAACCAAAGTGATAGGCTTTTCAACCTAACCTACAGAAAAATGCCAAGGTAAAACCGCCACTAAACATGTGGCATAGGTAAAAGATAGGTCTTGTTGAGGCTGGAATCTGTATTTAGAAGTTGACCTGCAAAGGAAAAACATCTTGTGTTTTTTCACTAGTTGAATCCCACTTAACTTTTTATCCCAGAAGTGTTCACCCCATGTCTGTATATTCCCATTAGAAGTCTAGGCTCACCAAACTTTGAAGACTACAGACAACCAAGATTCTGACACAAGAGGGAAATAAAATTTGCATGAGTATAAGTTACCAATTCAAACTGTTATAATTACGTTTTGTTTTGTTAATGTGGTAATTAAGACACTTGGGAGAAAAAAGTCTCTTACAGATTCAATACCCCAGGCACTTCAAGAGGCCAAGCAAGCTCCCACACACACATTTAAGTGTTTGTATGTCTCCAGTAACCAACAATACAAATCAACTTGCTTTTAGTACAGTAAAAATGGAACCCATCATATTCACAGTTCTTTCTTCCTCCCACAGTTGTGGGCCTCCTTTATATGAAACGAAGGATAGAAAAACACCTATTTTTCTTTTGCAGGTCCCCTTCAATACAGTAGCAACAGAAGTTAGTCTGTGTGTCATGCACCTAAGCTTCTAGAAAATTTCACTTTTAGGTTCAGGCACTCATACAACCAAGGAAATCATCTGCATAATGACATAATATTTAGTAAGAGTCTCGTTTACTGCTTACAATGAAGTGCCAGTTACAAATCAGATTTACTGAAGAAAAGAAAGCACTACGGAAACTGGCCTATTTAAATCAGAGGGGCAAAACATGCCCCGCAGCCTCATTCCTACTAAAACATTTTTGAGAGGTCAGTTAATAAGTGTACAGGTCTATGTCTACTTGCTTTGAAAGACTACAACATGCAACTAAGGAGTGACTTAAAGTTCAAAAAAGAATTCAGAGCATAAATCAACAGCACCAGTAAATGTGTTTATTACAGCAATAACTACTGTGGCATGCATCTGTACAAACCTTTCAGGCAGTTGTCCACAGCTGGTCATGAATAAAAAGGCATATAAATTTTTCTCTTCTTTTATTACAATGAATTTTATAACAGTACAGAAAAGTCACATGACCTTACTGGGTCAGTTTACTTAAACCCTGCAACAGGAGGAACTCTAAATACATTAAATATTGTTACATGTTCAGACTTTTAATGTACAGATAGTTGGGAACAGTTAGAGCCCTCACCAAGCAATGTTGGGGACATGAAGTCCAACAGCACATGAAGTGCTGTGAAGGCATCATTTTACAAATAGCAACATAATGTTACAGAACTTGCCTTTAAGATGGTATGTTCATGTAATTCCAGCGCCTTCACAATTTAACGAACCATATTTACTATACTTCACTTCTAAAAACCTAGATGAAACATGAAAAAGAAGCCATACAGTATAAATTGCAACATCAGGAAAAGTTCCTGTTTTATTATTCCAAATAATTTTTTCCCATGTAAAATAAGAATGTCCAATAGTTCCTTGCATGTGGGAAGAAAGTGTTTTTAAAGTCACAATGAAGCCTTAATTGACGGAAGCTTGGCTATATTAACAGCACAAGATGAGAAAAGGTTTAATCTCCAAACCTATTAGACTGCGTGTAGTAGCATCAATAGCGGCCACCTTGCGACATTACGGGCGGTCTCATTCCCATTGGAGGTCGAGGAGGTCCACTTTGGTAAGGGGGCACCATCGGGGGTCCCTGACCATATGGAGGCATCGCTCCAGGAAGGTATCCTGGCATGCCTTGGTGATGAGCACCATACTGACCTATAAACAAAACATTTATAAGATACAAGCAAAGAAATCCATTTTATTTAAAAAAAAAATTTAAAAATTTGTCTCTGAATAGATTCAAAGGACAGGTGCATTTAAATGCTAAAAGGTTGAGGCTACATTTTGGTGAAAATGCTACCTGTCCTTTCAAAACAACTGTAACCTCAAAACTTGAAAAGATCTTTTAGTGAAATCAAATTTATTAGAAAGGGGTAGGGGGCAGGGAAAGCCTGTGCGATTACCATGAGGCGGCATTGGAGGTCTCATTCCTTGCTGCTGTGGAGGAATTCCTGGCTGTGGTGGCATCATACCCCCAATTGGTCCAACCGGTGGGTTACCCATGGATGCCTGACCTGGTCGAGGGAGATTACGCTGATATTTGGGCAACTGTGCCCTTCTTTCTTCCTAAAGAACAACAACATATTGGAAAGATTTTAAGGACACATCACGGTGTGACTAAGAAACTACAATATTTAATATTCTCTACCAGTAATAAGTTAAAAGGTAAGAACACAAAAACTGAAATTTTCTTATATTACAAGATTTATTATTGCAGGTACCTGTAATAAAGTCAATTCTGTTCTTTTAACATTCAAGACTAATTACTAATAACTTTTTCCCCCTAAAAGCTAACAATGATTAGAAAAAAAAATTAATTTCTGTTAGGTAGTTATGTTGCTGACTGACACTTTACACCCAAGGAACCAAACCTACTTAAGCCAAAAAAAAGAGGCATCTTAAGACCAGACAAAATTACAAAAATTTTCCTTTTTAAATGAATATCCTTCAAGAACAAAATCTGAGGTTAACCTTACTTAGGAAGACATTGGTTGGATTTTACGTAAAAGGCTTTTCAGTTCTGAACTCCGAAAACAGTCCAACCTAACTCTTTTTACACTCATCAAGACTGCTTCAAAATTGCTGTGTCACTTGTGCTATGCTGACTAGCTTTCCTTTCATTTAAGTCACAGCCATAGACAACAAGAAATCCAAGCAATGCTTAGAGCAAACGTAACAGTTCTGCCATCAACTAAACTAAGGTTTAGGTATACAGCATTAGCACAAAGTTCCCTGATTTCAAAGAGCTCCTCACACGCAGTACTATTTTATTAAATTGACAGGTTCTGTACTTCCACCAGTACGAAGATACAGAAAAACATTTCATTACCCATATGTCAAATTTCAACAGAAGCATATGTTGCATTTACTAACTGAAACTGTTCCAACTTACCAGGGATATATCCTCATCTGGATGGATCAACTTACTGGTTGCACTGGTTGTTGTAAGAGTAGCAGGCTTACTAGTTATAGATGTAGCTGGTTTAGCCGCAGTACTGTTTGTTGTGCTAGTGGTGGAGGTTGTAGACTGCGTATAAGCAGGGAATGTTGGTTTTGGGGGCTCTGTGGTTGTTGCAGGTGTAGTATTCAACGGTTTGAAATCAGTACCAACTGGACCTGGAACAGCTGCTTGAGCCTGTGAAACAGAGTTAAATCAAGAAAAATACTTACTTTTCCAAAAGAAAAAAAGAAAAAGTGTATATTATATATCTTTTAGACCTCTGAAACTTTCCAGTTAGATACAGAATTAAAAATAAGCTAGTAAAAAGTAAATTTCAGCCTCATCACATGATACTAAAGCAAATGAAAACAAAAAGACAAAAAATTCACTACACATACTGGAAGAATCTAAAATGTTGCAGGTCAAAAGCCACAACTAAAATAAAAGGAGCAAAACAAAAAGTGCTGAATTTCTTGCATCATTTCCTCCAAACTATTCAACCGAATTATGTATAAATCCTTACATATACATCTGTTTTAGCAATGACAACCCAAGTTGAAGCAAATTTATTTTTGCAATAATGAATTAGTGCACTTCAGCAATCATTAGTTTAGAACACAACTTGAAGTGTTAGAAATCATTAACATAATTTAAGTTTAGAAAATCTTGACTAAATAAACCTGTTTGAGAGTTCTAAGGTCTATACTTTTTAAAATTATATATATTTTAAGCATTCTCTGCATAAAAATCACTAAAATGTCCTTACAAAGGTCTCATTATCTATATACAGATCTTCTGTAAAACTTTAGTTTCATTTGCGACTAGAACCAAACGAAGGCAGATCCACTAAGATCCTCTAAGTAGTTCTATGTAGGCTGAAACGATTAAGATACAAAAGGTTTGCGGTTTGTTTGGTTTTTTTAAATCTATATTTAAAATAAACTCTGGAAGTGAGATGAGAGAATGCTTTGGCTTACAGTCAGCGTACTTTTTCAACCATCTACTGAATTTTCTAATTAAAGTCAAATAATATTCAATTTCAGCATAATGCAAGTATAAATATGCCCTACATTATTTGTGATGCATCAGATTAAACAGCGTAAACTAAAAAAGGCTTCACCATGCATCAAGCTGTCCACTGCCCACTAAAATGCATTTAACTGCTATCATGCTTTTTAACCCTTTAGAACCAGGATGTAGTATTTCATTTCTCCCCTGAGTCCAAAAGGAATTGGGCATTTTGAAATGTGAACTTCTACAAGATGACACAAAAGTTAACTTTCTTTAATTTAATAACCAGCTAAACATAATCAGGGATATAAACCATTATCTGAAGATGTTTAGACAGAGATTTTTTAAAAGTTACATAACAGTCCAAAGGGTTAAGTTGCAAAGCAATTTTTGTTCTTTTAAACTGCAACTTCCTGCGTACTTGTGCTGTGCTAGGAAACAGAGCTTTAGAAGATGCTGACAGATTTTCTGAATTGGAGGAAGCTGTACTTGAGCTTGTGACAGGTGTCCCCATCTGTAGCATAAAAGAAAGGAAACAGTGAACAGTCTCCAAACAAATGGGTAAAAAATAGTCGAATGGAAGGACCTCTTATCCAAATCGACTGAATTTCTGTGAACTAGTATCTTCCCTGCTGAAGTCCAAGATGTACTTAGGACATGATGAAGATTTATGCAACATGCTTGAAAACAAGTAAAAAATTAAGGATTTATTCATTTACAACAAATGCAGTCAAATGGTAGAGGAACACAAGGCTCAAACTCCTCATTCTAGTAGCTCTCAATTCCACCCACCCTCCCCAAAAACCCCCACTTAAGTAAGGAGGGGATGCCTCTTTGTTCAAATACAACAAATACCTTAATTTAGCTTGAACAGGACAGTATGGCAAATTAAAAAATAAAGACTGATATAATCTTACTGTTTATCAGTTGGTAAATATGCCCATTATCAAGGAAATGAGATAGAATCCTTGTTTAAAACAAACCAAGGCAAGATTTGTACATAGGGAACTTAAAGAGAAAATTTTGAAAGTCAGATCTTCACCTGCTGACAGACCAAAACAAATTCAGCCAATCCGCCCACTTCATAAGGCATGTAAAAATGGTTTGTCCATTCCAACCCACAAACTATTCGCTACCTACTTGCTGATGCTATACAACAGCAAAGACAAAGATATCCTTTTAAAAATCAGCAGTCAAGAGATGCGATGCTTCACAAGCATGATTCAAACAGGTAAGTAACCCTGATTATTCTGCTGTATCTTCAACAACAAATGGTATTCTCCAATATATAAATATTATCAACGTGAAATGATTTTGTTGTAAGACAAGAGTCAGGAATGTGTGTAAACTCAATATTAACACCTTACCTGTCCTGCACTGGGGAACAGTGGCTTAGTAACAGGAGGCTGAGGGGTAGGTGCTGTTGCAGTGGGAGCTGGAGGTCTATTAAGAATTCCTGGTGCTGTCACAGGCTGTGCTTGTGTCATGGGAGGCATACGAGGACCAACAGGTGGTGGCATACCTATAAAAAGAATGAACGAGCGAACGAGTAGTATCTCAAGCAGAGTAAAAGAAGCATATCCCTTTTGTAGGTGACATTTCCTTCTCTCTTGCATGTTAGTGTTCTGGAGTCCCAAGATGGATAAAACAGGAATTGTAAGCTTACCATAAAATAAGATGACAAAACAAGCTTTTATCAGCTGGGAGAGATTGTTGTTAAATATTCATAAATCATGGGCATTTTACACATGGGGGGGGGGGGGGGGGGGGGGGGGGCGCCTTGAGTGTTACATGCATCAGCATCCCCGTGCTGAAAAATGGCAGTGGGGCATTTTAAGCAAAGCTATTAAACAAGCTTTAGTTAAAGCGCCCCACCGCCATTTTTCAGTGCAGGGATGCTGATACATGTGACGCTGGAGTCTGCTGGATTAATTGAGTCTGTTCCAATGCGTTGTATTTACAGCATGTTGGAGCAGGCTTGCTGCATATGTACAGGTGCCCCAAATGTCTATACAACCACAGTATAAATACTATACTTATTTTAAAAACTTTGGAAAACCTTAGTCTTTCATTAACTTAATCTCCAATTTTGAGAGGTGGAGGAAAGAAACAGGAGCTTATTTACATGCGGCATTGTACAAGGTCTCTCCATTTAACAAATGTACATACAACTCAGTATGTGCTTCAGATGCACTATACCTGTATTGCCAATTGAGGTATAAGGTTGTATTAAAAAAACAAACAAACCCAAAAACCTGGAAGATGCACTTGATGTGGGTATAAATAAGAACATACAAAAGCAGGAAGCAATAGATGTGCCTGGTCTTGGTGGCAACTGGCTGCTCCAGGGAACAAAAATGCAGTCTAATTTTATTTTGAGAAGAAAGCAGCACAGCAACAAGAGATCCCCTTCTTCTAGCAGCAATCTTATATGTATGCACACAAACAGGAACCCGGCCAATTAAATTAGTACATCTGTAAGATTAAAAACCCAATTTGGATACAATAATTCTGACAACTGGTTGTTGTGGAAGGTTCTACAAAAGTCGTGATTCTCAACCAGGATGCCATGAGATCCTTTTCAAGGGAGCTGTGGGGTGCCACAATGTTAGCACTGTTAGGTTTGCAAACACTACTTGCAAGATAAGCCCAGAAATTTTAACAGAATCCACAACATTAAAGACCTTCTGACCCACTGTGGTTTTTCTGAGTTTTTTGCAACAGAAAAATTGCTCTATTATTTTTCCGTAGTTTAAAAAAAAAATGTGAAGACTAAACCATTTTCTGAGGGGCACTTCAAATCTAAAAAGGTTCAGAACTACCAAATTAAAACATTAAGTAGAAACTTAGATGGTTGAAGTGTTGGTTTCAAGTAAAATAAAAGACTAGATGATAGTTTACGTAAAATCTGGCTATTATGAAATTTGGGAAATACAACAAACACCAGGAAAAGCAATATTAAAAATCACTGAAGATGACCTAAAGTGAATTTGTTCTGGAAAACACAAAGCTTCTCAAAATAAGATAAAAATGGCTCCTGCACATAATGGAAAAATAACCAGTTAGTTGTTGGAGGAAAAACAAACACATGCACATATACATACACATATCTTACACCAGAAGTGCTAACCTACTAAGCAGGCCTGATTTCATAAAATTAGCCAATTCCACTACTGCAATTTAAAAGGTGATTGTTGTAAAAAGAAACCGACTAGAAATATACAAATCTACTGGATTTTATTTTTTAACCACCTCTGTATTAAGATATTCTGAAATTAAGCTGTTTCAGATATAGGCAAGGGTTTCTTTACTGTAACTATTGCCAACAGCCCTAAGTGAATCTCTTCACAAAACTGGCCCATTAAAGTTTGACGCACAAGCTCCCTTGAAGTATTTGACTCGTAGCCTAGTAACCCTCTACAACTTTTTCACAAGTAAAGTGTTCCAAGCTGCTGGCACAGAGGGCAAGAAGATACCAGAAGAGAACTCACACAAGGAGCCAATTTAGGACAAAGAAAAAGTATAGGTCAGACACAAAATAGCACCCATTAGCTTCCTAGTAAACGACACCAACCACACCTAAAAGTTCATTAAACTACAAAATACATTTCTCCCTTTGATCTTTGTACAAAACTAAACTTGTATTGAGATTCACTATGAAACAAAGATAACCCCATTTCTATAGCTCCCGAGCCCCAAGTAAGAAAAAATAAATAGCTCTCACCACAGTATGGGTTCGACACCCCTGACCTACCTGGTGGCATACCAGGCATAAGAGGTGGTATTCCTGGCCCAGGAGGCATCATTCCACCCATTGGCATCATCCTATTAAAATTTAAAATGAAGATTAGTGTGAACATATAACCTCCTATGAAGGCTACTGGCATACATCAATATTAAAGGTGTTATAATAAGCAACCTAATGCTTTTCACCAATTGAGGGATTCAAAATGCTTTGATGATTCTAAGCAACATCAGACCAAAATATAAAGGCTTCATTGTCAGCAAGCCACATTCCTGTTAACCAGGGGTTAGAGAAAGCAGTCCAAGTTTAGACTTTTCAACTTCAATTTGCAATAAATTTCCAAGTAGACAGTATTCAAGTTACTAACTCATAAGGAAAAAAAAGCAAGTTTCATTCACTGTGCCTCATATTCCAAATACAACTGTAATTACACATCCTTTCTGGTATTTAAGACACATCTTCCAATACTGTGGTCGTCAAAGAGGTAACACTGACCATGAAATGCTGTTAGAAGAGATGTCTCCTTTCAACAGCAATAATTAACTGCAAATCTGAATAGAATACAGTTTCTAGCCTGAAGGTGCCCAAATAAAGTAACAGGCTTCTATCTCCAAAACCACTGCATGTACCCCTAGACTATTCACTCTACCTTCGTTAATACCACTGCATAGAAAAGATGTAGAACCCTGCCTATTTTAATTAGGAAAAACTTAGCCACCTAGATCACTTGGCAAGAAGGGGCCAAACTCAGCCCCCACCTCTGAACTGGTAGCACTGAAGTGAATATAACAGTGTGAAAAGGACAGTGATATACTTTTGTTTCCACATCCCACTATTTCACTAGTGATTGAGGGGGCTCATTTTCAACAACACAGGCTACCTATCAATTGAAATTGGCTCCTGTAGTCAGGAACAACTAAAATCTGTAAGGTTTTAACTGTAAGGTTCAACTGTTTAGTGCATTTTCTTCAGCAGTTCCGTCCCTTAATAAAAGGGCAGAACACTGGATTAAAGTTGGCAAAGAGCTTTAAGTACCACCCAGAAAAGAGCAGCAGCATGAACTGGCAACATTCCATTTAGATTAAAATCTACAGGACTATAAACCATAAAAACAGCATCAACCCAGCAAAAGTTTTATTTCTGCACATACACAACACCAACCCACCAACCAAAATTTTCTAAAATTCAAAAGTTGATGGGGGACAATATTAAGCTCTCATGCAAAAATCTACTCAAATCAAATTGTCACCCAAGTCATTCTATTCCTAAAACAAAACTCCAAAACCCATCAAGGACTGACCAAGGGAAGCTACAGATTGCTACAAGATGAAAGGCAAAAAAAGAATAAGGAGATCTATTACAATGGTCTCCTGCAGTGATGCACATTACTGACATTTCTAGATATTTCTTAAGACTAAAAAAAAAAAAAAAAATCTCAAACGATGCAATATGCAAAAAATCAAGTTAGCTAACTGCATCCTATAACAGGCAGAGGTTTCCAATATAAATCTATAAAACACAATTGTTTCATTTGACACAAGTGAATAAAATGTACTAAATATTTCATTACTTATGAGAGGCTTACATTCTGACCACCCCCCTAATTGTGTGTACTTTGCTGATATGACTTGCGAACATCTGACAAAAACAAGAAGTTTAACAGTATTCTGAACACGCTGTGAGAAACTATTCTATCCATCTCACTATCAAGTTTTAAAATCACTTTGTCATATACATGCTCAAAAGCAGTCTAAACGTTTCAATTAAGAAAAATATAAAGTAATCAGTCAAATCTCTCTCATGGTTGGTCTATAACAGAGTGCAACATACATAAACACATAGATGGTACACAAAGTTCACAATATTCTAAGCCAAAAACAGGTTATTTTTCAACTATCATTGGGCAAAGTGGAAAGAAATAGTAGCAGAGCTCTTTGGGTATGAGTTGATTAATTTTTAGCCATTATCTTTCATATGCTAGCTTCTTCTAACATCCTTTGATAGTTGTCATTAAATGTGAAGGATAACCTTTACAAATGTGCAGATTTTACAGGATTTGCTATTTTTCTAAACTAGTTCTATGCCACCTGTGACAATTATATAATTTGCTGATGTGTAAGAACATTGCACTATCACCATTCAAATGATTAAAACTATTTTTTTTATTATTATTACTATTATTATTATTATTTTATTTATTTAATTTTACTTACCCAGGTGGCATTCCTAGTATAACTGGAGGCATTCCAGGCATCATTGGAGGAACACCCGCCATTAATGGTGGTATACCTTTAAAAATTTAAACAAATTTTAGATAAGTAATAAATTCCTCAAAGACGTGTCAGACAGTTACTTAAAACCGGATAAATAATTTATATACAACCGTTACAGGAAATAAGTATTCCCTAAAACTGGTCTTGCAAGCCATTGTGGAATATTCCAACGTATGGCCTTTTGTGGTTTTTTGCAGTTTCTGCAAAATGGCGCACCATACAATATTACTTTTAATAGTATAACGTCTTCAGTGTTCATCCAGAGCAGAAGGTACATAACACAATTTGAGACAACTGTAACCATCAGTCATGAGCTGTTTTGCAGCATCTAATTCAGTGCTAGAAGGAGTCACACCATCATTCAGGTAGGATCTCAATAAAAACACTTATATACAGCATATAACAACATTGAAGCCCATTACCTGGAGGCATTCCTGGTGCACCTGGGACAGGCGGCAAACCTGGCTGTGCCATTGGAGGTATGTATCCCTGCTGTGGCTGTACAGGTTGTGGTTGAAATGAAGTTGAAGCTGAAGACTCATCATCTTCATATTCATCAGAATCATCTTGTTGTTTCTTTTTCTGACTCTCTGCTAAAGATATTTAATGTTTTTAAGCTTACAATATACAAATGGAAGCTTACAGAGCTTATAGGGACAGGATTTTTTGCCCTGTTGGAACTGTGTTCCAGTCTGAAAGCTAGTTACCTTTCTAACTAGGTGTTCTAGGAATTAAGAAAATCTTTATAAAAGCCTCCCATAACTTTTATGATACAATAGTAGGGTGGGCTCAGAAACGCCACAACGACTGGTCACAAAAAAATGGCATGTCTGCATTCCACTGCTGATTCAATATAGTATCTCCAGGGATTCATATGAAGCCAGAGCACTTAGACTTCTTACATGATCATTAATTCCATGTCCCTGCTCCTTCTCTCTTTACCCAATATCTAAGTCACACTTCTAGTACTGTAACTGGATCATCCCTTTCCAGACAGATACATGTCAGAGCAGTCATCCCTGGACAGGAAAAAATACTATCTGATTAAAAAAAATAGCGATAAAACTGACACAGTTACAGAACATATCAACTGCCTGGACTCCCAGCTCCTTCGGAACAAAACCAACACGAGCAGTTAGGTTATAAATATCAGGTTGAAAAAGGCCCGTAAAAACATTCACATTCGAACAAAGCCTTCCGCTACTCTATTTTTTCAAACCCAGCTTTTAATCATCCTTTCAAAACAGATATTTCATAACTAGCCAAGGCCAGGACCACATGTACAGCACCATCCATAAAGTTCAAGACTCAGTGTATAACTACAATTGGCAACATCCAACAGCAGTACCTTTTTAAACAGCATTAATCATACTTGTGTCACCCCTGTAATTAAGGAGCAAAGCAGTTGTACACGTTTTACATGCTCTAATTTTTAAAAAGTGCTACGATATTACATATAGCCAAGATGAAATAAGCTGTAAAGATTTTCAGCATACCTTGAGTTTTTTGTTCAAGTAATCTCCTCCTTTCTTCCATATCTTTTTCTGGAATGCCCTCCATGCCATAAATTTCCAGTTCAATATCTGTTCTTCCAGGAATAGCATTTGGAACAGCATCTATTGTTTCTTTATGCACCTAATACAAACAAAGAAAACATATGATGCAGTCAAATCTGCAACTGGACTGTTTCAAAGCACAAGAAACCACAACAAGATATTTTAAGTGCAACCATTACTGACCTTTTGAGCATCACAACGTGTATTTTAATTCCAATTCTCATTTTAAAATCAATGACTGATACCCAACAGTAACTTCTCTCCGAAGAAGCTGCAGTTTATGTTGATCCCCACATGGAGGCGTTTTCTTTCTTTTTTTCCCTTTTGCTTTATGGCACCATATTTGTAGTACAGAATACTAACAGTTCAGAAAAACCAGATAACCTACATGCTAGAACTTTTTCTGGTTCCAGTCATAATTTAAACTAAGGGCTGCTGTCCAAGAGCATTTATACTACTGTATCTTATTTGCAATTAAAATTAGGTAAGAACAACATGGTTTCACACTTATTGCTTCTCATCCTGCTTAAATTAACCATGTGACTGCATGAAGGTCACATCCTCAGGAAAGAAAGGATCCCTTGTAGGCTGAACATTCTTGAAGCATGTTTTGACACAGCAATTCATTTACTAAAAAGTGTCCCAGCGTACTGAAAACCAATGCCCCTATCATACATTTTCTAAACAAAGCAAAATCATCTTAGTTTCCCCCCCACCCTTAGAATTGCATAAAACAAATTAAATACACTGCAGAAAACACTTACCTGCATGCAATGTATAGCTAAACCAGGTCCTGTATACAGCTTTTTATGACATATATGGCACTTGAAATGCTTTGCTTTTTGATGCTGGATAAGGATTTTTTCATCATCAAAATCCCGGTTGCAATACCTATTAACGACCATTAAGGAAATGTATAATCCAGAAACTAAATATCTGAACCTCAGTCTAATGTTATTGCAATTGTTCTCAAGGGAAGAAAAGAGCACGGAAAGCAACAAGCAGTTCAGAAATTCATAAACAAATTTATTTACGCAATTCTGAAACTATAATTATCCATAGTATTTTCACAAGTTGTGAAATCAATGAAAAAAAACTCTTACCGCCATAGGACACACCCCAACTTTTTAAATTGTAACAAGTATCATATTTGCTTGCATAAAACATCCCCTTGTTTCACTGCAAACCAACTAGGGGAAACTAAGGTGCACATTACATGAGAGAAATAAGGATCCCTATGGGTCTGGAAATCTGGTAAAGGAGGTACAGTGGCAGTACTAATTGCAGCAGCTCTGGGAGCCACAGCAACTAACACTGCTACCGATACTCATGGGTCTAGAAATGTGGCAGCGGGGAGCTGACCCAGATAACACAGCCCCACGCGCTGGCTTGAACTGGAGCACGGGGTCAGGCCGCGTCTCCAAACCCCAGCAGTCACGTCACGTGGTGCCGGTGGACCCAACACAAGAAATCAGACCCGGCACACCACATTAATTACTTAACCTTCCTTGATGAACAGCATTTATTTTCAAGCTGTCTAAAAACCAGGGTGCATATTATATTCAGGGAGGCGGGTATATGTCTGAAGACACAGTACTCTTCATTAAAGAATTGTAAAGGATTTCAAGTAGGACCAAAAATATATTTTAAAGTATCGCTGGGTTCATTTTACTACTTTAATTGCAAGGCCATTTGGACGAGCTTTTCTTCTGATAGAAGAGGGGCGTTCTTATTTCAACAAAATCAGGAATCTGGTTTTCCTGGGAAAGTGAAACCGGATATCGTGGAGACGAAAATTGCTGGGCACACCAAATATTTTAATAAAATAACAAATGCTATTAATGCTCTGTAATCTAGAGGCTAACATATTAAGCATTTCAAGTTTAAAAAAAAAGACACCTTTCCCCATCGAGTCTGGCAGCTCTCGCTTTTCCGGGGATGCCATTTGGCTAGTTCTCTGCACGTCAAACACGCGAGTTTCCAATGCAAAAGAAGAGAAAATTGAAGGGAAAAAGAAAGAAAAAAAGAATAAGAGAGAAAACTGAAGGGAAAAAGGAAGAAAAAAAAAAGTAAAGAGAGAAAACTGAAGGGAAAAAACAGGCTTTCAGGCCTCCCTGCGAAGGGAGCATTGCCAGGAAAACACCGGCTCCTCTCTGAAGCAGGAGCGCGGCTCCCCCCCCCCCGCCGAGCCCGGCTGCGAGGCAGGGAAACCACCAGGCGCAGAAGGGCCAAAGCTTTCCAGGCGCGGCCCGGAGCGGGGAGGGGAGCAGGGCCCGGGGCCCCCCCCGCGGCTCCTCAGGAGACCCATGGGAGCAGGCCGCGGCCTAGCGCCGTGGCGGGAGGCGGGGTGGGGGGGAGAGCAGGCCGCGGCCCGGCGCTGAGGAGGAACGTGGGGAGGGGAGTAAACTAGGCCTCTCGCCCCTTCCCGCCAACCCGGGCCCGGCACAGCCGGTGGTGAAGGATACCAGCACCAAGGTTTCAGCTGCTTCTTCTTCTTGCGGCCCATGGCGGCGGCGTTGCCGAGGTACTAGAAGGTCGGAGGAGTGAGCACCGACCGCAGCGCCCGCGCGGCCTCTCGCAGAGACGTAAAATGGCCGCCCCGCTCGCCTCAGCGTCGCCCGGCAGGCAGCGCGGCGGCGCGTCACGTGACCGCCGCCGCGCAGGCCTCGGCCACGCCCAGCCGGGGGCCGCCATTTTGTTTCTGGCCAGCCCTTGTGCGTCCAGGCAGCGGCATCCTAAAACGTCACCAGTGACGTCACGAAATGTCAATTTTGTTGACATTTCGGGGGAAATGTCCCGTGTCGCTGCATGCCCGACGCACCACTGGTCCAATAAAAGACACTAAGAAATCAGTGTCTCGTCACGCCTCCCCTCCCTTCCCCGGCGTTTAGAAGGCGTGTGCTTTTCCTTCCAAACGTCACTATGATGTCACCATGCAGCACTGCTACCTCACAGCCCTAAGGCAAACTGGCATTTCCCCCAGTACGTCCCTAGGCGCCACGAGGCAGGACTGTTGTCACACCGCTGCGGGAAACCCTGCCTCTTCCGCTGGCCCCTGTCGGCACTGATGAGCAGGAGTCCTGGTTTTCTTTAGTTTAAAAAAATCCCCAATTTTCAGGTTAAAAGTAACCCCAAATCCAGTTTTTCCATGATCAAAAAGAAATATCACTATATATGTCTAGATACATCTATAGATAGATATAGGTAAATCTCTATAGATGTATCTAAATATCTATATACACATATATACATACATATACATATATATAGAGAGAGAGAGATGGATACAGGCAACCCCCCGCTTAGCGCTCTTAATTGGGTCCTGAAAAACTGTTAAGCAAAACCAAAAGTATTTGACGACCCAAGATGGTGACCCCAATTGTTTCTAATGACCCAAGACGGCGACCACGATCGTTATAACGAAACTCACGGAGCGCTAAGTGAAATCAGGTATCAATTTAAAATGAGCGTTATAGCGAAATGGCGCTAAATGAAACAGCGTCAAGTGGGGGTTGTCTGCATCTATTCCTAGATATCTAGATATTTGTATCTAGATATCTAGATAGCTCTATATTTCTATATTTATCTACATATATCTATGTATTAGTGGCGTTTCATTTTAATCACGGACAAATGTGGATTTTGGGTTACTTCTTTTAACCTGAAAATAGGGGATTTTTTCAATCACAGAAAACCAGGAACCCTGATGATGAGTTCTTTGGTGGCTGCTGAGTCGGATGCGCAGGGGCGGTCCTGCCCACCGGTCGGGCACCCCACGCACTAGCACCGCTCACTCTGAATCTCCCTAAAGCAGGCCTCAGTGAGACAGGGGCCAGAGCAGAGCCCAAAGGACGCACCAGAGCTGCCTAAAAGTTGTGCCGGCTGCTCCTTGATGCTTGCTGGCGGGGCTGCCCCTGCATTGCATCTGCAGAGCTGCCTGGAGAACTTTGCATCCACCCCAGGCAATGCACTTGTCCTTGGGTGGAAAAGCCAAAAAACTGTAGCGATATATTCGGTAGCTGTGTTGGTCTGAGATAGGTATCATCTCAGAACCAAGAGTTCTATTTGTTTGCATTTATTTTTGTCTCAGACCAACACGGCTACTAAATACATCCCTGAAACATGAATTTTAACCAATTTTGGGTGATAAACTTCATTGCTGAACAAGAACAATTTCGACACCTCCCTGTTTGTCACCTGCCACCAACAGGGAAGGAATCCTGCCTGACCTGCACAACAAAGAGCACCTCAAAGAGACATGCTCATGGACCCAGGCGGGGGGGACAGATTCCCAGCTTCAGCTTCCTCTGTGCAAAAATTAAGTTTATTTCATGGAGACAGTTTATAGCATGGGTCAGTTTAATGGGGACAGTTTATGGCATGGGACAGTTTATTTCATGGGGGCAGTTTATAGCATGGGGCAGTTTAATGGGGACAGTTTATTTCATGGAGACAGTCTATAGTATGGGGGCAGTTTATAGCACAGGGAAGTTTATAGCGTGGGTCAGTTTAATGGGGACAGTTTATGGCATGAGACAGTTTATTTCATGGGGCAGTTTAATGGGGACAGTTTATGGTATGGGGACAGTTTATAGCCTAGGGCAGTCTATTTTATGGGGACAGTTTATTTCATGGGAACAATTATAACATGGGGCAGTTTATTTCATGGGGACAATTATAGCATGGGACAGTTTATTTCATGGGGAAGTTTATAGCACATGGGGACTTGTTACCGTCTTTAACTTTCTCTGGGTCTGATGAAGGGCGTGTGAGCCCGAAAGCGGGCAGAAAAAGATTTGTGTTTGTTTGTTTTTGCAATCTCTCAGTTGGTCTAATAAAACGTATCATCTCTGAACCAAGAGTTTGAGTTTTTTGTAAAAAAAAAAAAAACCCTCCCAAAAAACTGCAGACACTTTCATGGCTGCACATCATGCTTTAAACATTCACACGTGGAAAGGTAATTGTCACCCCCCACACTTTTGTCGGGGAAGGGATGTGGGAAACAGCAGAGCGGGGCTGTCGCGCACGTGTCGGAGCCGCCGGGCACGGACACGCAGGCTGTAAGTCCCGCCCCCAAACACGCCCCTCCAGGCGGTGCCGGGAGCCCGCGGGGGGAGGGGGAAGACCGCCGGCGGCCGGAACGCGCGTGCGCGGGCTCGGCGGAGCAGGCAGGGGACGGACCCGGC